AGTTACAGAAGTAGTAGAGGAGAAAGAGAAAGTAATAAAGGAGGAAAAGGATTATTCCAAATATCCTTCTCTTGTCTCCATTCCTTCCATTGGGTCTGTGATTGCTTTTAAAACATTAGAACTATCACCCATAGATTATACTCCATTACTGTCTGATTATAAAGAAGGGACAGTCCTAAATGTAACCGATGATCAGTTACTATCATTACAGTTGGATGATGATACAGTGTCTAAGGAAAAGATTAAAGCAATCAAAGAGACTGAAGGAAAGTTCTCTCTACCTGATACTGAGCCTTATGAACCAGAGAGGGAAATCAATATTAGTTTTACTGAGCTAATAGAAGCTAAACTCTGTAACTAATGAAATAGATGGTTATCAATCGTTAAACACTTAAGTATCATGTACATTGTATAGTAATAATTGTTATAAACTAGAACCTCTATAGAGGTTACTAATCACAATCATTTTAGTGTGAATTTTTGCATAATTAATTAATTAATTAATTAATTTGCAGTCTGCTTTAGAGGGAGTGGCTAGGTGTCTGCAAGCTCATCAAGGGCAAATGATGTTCCGAGTCTTGTTCTACTGCTGTCTGCTCTATTTCTCCTCCAGTGTAGAGTCCACACCGCTAGATGACTATGTGAATAAACCTGACCCTACCTATAAGTACCAGTTAATAGGAGAGCCTGAGAGAAATGATGGATATACAACTTACTACATAAACTTGACCTCTCAAACGTGGCTTGACGGTAGAGTAACCTTTATATTCATAGCCTCATTTTTTGTTCATTGTTTAGCTGCAACTTGTGATAGATCAGTTTGGTGGCATTTCTTAGTTATTAATGTACCTGATAAAGTTAAATCAACTGATACTGCATTCATTTATGTGACTGGTGGATCTAACACCAATACAGAGTATGGATATAGCATCATTAGTTGATTATTTTATTTTATTTTTTGTTCTCAGTCTTCCTAGTCCCAGTAGTGAGGATTTACTGCTTCCAAGAGTGCTTTCTATCACAACAGGATCGTAAGATATTGTTTAATTGTTATGAACTTAACAGTATAATTCCCCCCACTCTCTCTCTCTCTCGTGTGTAGCGTGACAGCGACTCTCTTTCAGATTCCAAATCAACCAATAACATTTACAGTAAATACTTTCTGTTTATATTTGACTATCATACACACACACCCACACCTGCTACTCATATTAGTGCAGTATACAGCCTTGCTTATTAACAACTATACACATATCAACCATCATCTACTCTTGCTAATATTATCATTGCATTTTGCTAATAATGATTAGTGCACAAAATTGAATTGGACTTGTTTTCATTATTTTGCAGGCTGACCCAATGCAAAAGAGAAGGAGTGAAGATGCCATCATTGCCTTCACTTGGTACTACTACTCACAAGTCATTGACACTAAGGATCCTGAATGGCTACTGAGACTACCAATGACTAAAGTAATAATAATAATAATAATAATAACAATAATAATAGACTGTCTGTGACTCTGTGGCGATCCAATGCCCAGATGTGGTTGGGTAGATCTTCCATCTTGTCTCCAGAGGTGGATGGTCAACTGTAGGACTTTTTGTTTTTATTTTGTTGTGTTTTGTTTTTGGTTTTTTTTCCTGTTTTTTGTTTTGTCCCTGTCTTTTTTTTTCTATGGGGTTTCCCTTTTTGTCTCTCTCTTGTCTTCTACATTGTGTCTGATTTTATAATAATAATAATAATAATAGTAATATTATTATTATTATTATTTTATTAATGAAGGCTGTTGTACGAGCTATGGACACTGTCACTGATTTTGTAAATAAGAAAGAAAAGTCATTTGACGTCCAGAAATTTGTAATAGCAGGAGCCTCCAAAGTAATAAATAATAATTAATTAATTAATTAATAATGTTCATTAATAGCGTGGGTGGACTACATGGACTACTGGTGCTGTTGATAAGAGAGTGGTTGCTATAGTACCAATAGTAATGGACCTACTGAATATGGTTAAGGTATACTAATAACTATAATACTGTATACTGGATAATAGTACAGGGTATATAATGGGGCATTGATGACTGGTTGTTCTGTAATAAAACTATCATTATAGTACCAGCCAGTTCATTATTCACATGCTCAGTGACACATTAATTGCTCTTTTTATTCAAAATTTACTTTCCTCCACTATTTTTATAGCTTTACAGTAACAGGATGATAATTATTAATGATGATTCTTTTATTGTAGAACCTGCACCATCACTACAGGTCACTGGGTGGGTGGACCTTTGCCTTTAATGATTATTATGACCTCAATGTAACTGAGCACCTTGATGATCCTTCTACTCAGAAAATAGCTTCAATTGTTGATCCATATTGTAAGGAAACAATAATATTATTTATTATTATTATTATTATTATTGTTATTATTATTATTATCCTCAATAGCTTACATTGACAGATATACTATGCCTAAGATGATAGTTACCACTAGTGGTGATGAGTTCTTCTTACCTGATGACTCTTACTACTTCTGGGATGATCTTAAAGGAGACAAATATTTGAGGTAAGAGTTAGCATTATTATTAATTTTTTTAATAATTTTAATTATTTTTTTATTCCATAGGACAATGCCAAATGCTGAGCATTCCCTAGCTGGTCATGCTACAATGCTGATGTTTGATATCAGAGCATTCTATCTCTCAATACTAACAGTAAGTACATCCAGTATCTCTTTACACAGTTAGAGTATTGTGATGATGTTTTTGTGACCACAAATTGATGATACATGTGCATAATTATACTTCAGTTTAATTCATAAAGCAGCATTGCAGTAATTGTTACCATACCAACACATGGTAATCTGGTATTGAGTGTTGTTTTAAAATGGCTGTAACTTGAAAAATTGAAGTCGGAATCAGCTCAAACTTGCTACACAGCATAAGGACATCAATATTTATCAGAAAATGTAATAAAAATTTGGGGTGATTTTGGAGTCATTTTTTGGAAAAAACCATGGGCTATAACCTTGGGTATTTTTCAGAATTTCTGCAATTTTCTAAAATGGCTGTAACTTGAAAAATTGAAGTCGGAATCAGCTCAAACCTGCTACACAGCATAAGGACATCAAGATGTATCAGAAAATGTAATAAAAATTTGGAATGATTTTGGAGCCATTTTTTGGAACAAACCATGGGCTATAGCCTTGGGTATTTTTCAGAATTTCGGCAATTTTCTAAAATGGCTGTAACTTGAAAAAGTGAAGTTAGAACCAGCTCAAATCTGCTACACATCATAAGGACATCAATATTTTTAAATTTCGTTTCTCATGTTTTAGAATTCCCCTCGTCCAGTATTCAGTTGGTCACTCCAACAGAACACCACTGATGGTAGTATTACTCTACTGACTACTACAGAGCCACTGGAGGTGGTGGTGTATCATGCTAACACTATTGGAGATGAGAGGAGGGACTTCCGACTGCTAATAGCAGGACCTGATGGAAGAACTGAAGTACACCCTGTACTGTGGACCCCTACTAAACTCCAACCAGTGGTTAGCTAATAATCATTATTAATGGTGTACTAATATTGATATATCACTTTATTATAGGCTCCTGGTAAGTATGTTGCAAGTCGTTCTGCTCCTAAAGTTGGTTGGACTGGATTTTTTATCCAAGTTAGTTTTCAAAACTTTTTTGAAATTGAGAGTAACACAATGTATCCTCTAAAACTTGAAAGTTAAAACTATTAAATAACCTCTATATAATGGACATTGTATCTCTGTTATACAGAGGCGTCCTTTATGTGGAGGTTATTTTATACAGTAAGGAATGTAATTGGTACACTAGGTGCTGTCCGTTAAATGGAGGTGTACCCTATAGAGAGTATCCATAGGCTGTACTGTACATTAAACATTATGTCCTGATTTCCTATACTCCTTTAGGTTTCATTCAAAGGTCCTGCTGATAACAGTACTTATGAGTTCACTACTCAAATGAATATTATACCAACCACCTTCCCTTTCCCCGATTGTCATGGTGACAGTTGCCGTGGGAAACTAGTTTAATTTTAGCTGGAGCATGCTAATATTTGTGATCAAGTTTGAAAGTTTTATTTCATGAATTTTTATAAGTCCTCTTTGTAATTTTATTGTCGGTTTTATTGTTGCTGAATGCTGATTTTATTATTAATCTTGTTTTTTTGCCATTATTAATTATGACGTCATAAAAACGGAACGTCGTTGTTTAACCAGCCCCACCCTAGACCTAACTGCAAGAAATGGCTACCAAAAGCAACAGCAGCTCTCCTTCTCCTTCTCTCTTCACTTCTCCATTGACTATTAGTAATAATCCATTAACTGTAGTCTGTAATATATTTATATATTATGTTTTATAGCTCAACTTATTGATGTACTTGATCTGTTAAAGAGATGTGGTTTCCCTCAGATAAAATGGCATGAGTTGGGACTGAGACTAGGACTACATAAGGACACACTGGACGCCATTAAAAGAGACAATGTCACAACTAATGATTGCTTGACAGAGTGTCTCTCCCAGTGGTTACGTAGAGCTGATAATGTTGATAGTAAAGGAGGAGCTACCTTTGACTCACTGTCAGATGCTCTTAAATCTATGAATGAGAATGCTGTAGCTGACAAGTTAGATCAAGAGAGTAAGTTAATATCACTGATTGTATTAGTATTGACTGTGTGTGTGTGTATTCTACTTATTACGCTATACTTAGTCTTAGTGTATGATGTGATATTTAATGCAGTTTCATTTCAACCTGTCCCTAGTTGCATATTTATATCCATATATTAGAAATGGCAGTTGTAGTCTTATTTCCATAACATCTCTAGCATAAATAAACCCATTATCTGGATTGTATCATAAAAGTATTGGCTGATAGCGAAGGAATTGTGTTATGTATTGCAGTTCTGATAGGGTGGGGCTCAGTTCTGCTCAATAAAATTCATTAATACCTTAAGGAATATGAATAATCTATTCCATACATTAGTATAACTTCTGTGGCATTGGTCAATAATTTTCATATACATTATAATTTCAGATGATGATACTCTTAGCTCACCAGTACCTCGACCAGCAAGTATGATTATAATTATTAATAATGATTATTATTATTATTTCATATTATTGTAGGCATTCTTATTCACAAAACCAGATCATTGGCTTATATTTCTATTATTTTTTTAGTTTTTTTCTCCTTTATTATTCATAATTTTTATTATTTTTCTGTTTTGATTTCAGTTTTATTAGACTTATGCATATTTTTTATTATTACATTAATATTATATTTTACATTATTCTCTACTAATACAAGTGAACCAGTATCATCAGGTAACATTAAACTTTATTTTCACTAATTTGTGAAGTTGCATGTTAAATTGCTGTAGTTAACAGTTAATGAGATTATTATTTTTTTTATCATCTAGCTGGCCCATTCTTCTTCAATTCGGCACATAAACGTGATTTTAATGAGATCAGAGGTC